CTTCCGTCCGCTTTAGGAAAAGAAACCCACGTAAAATCGAGCTGAAAAGAGATTCAAAATTTTGGTCACAAGGAGGAGGTCCATCATTATACACCTGCGCCAAAGTGAATGCGCTTTTTTAAAAAATATTTTGTTATCCCCAACGCGCTTACCATTAAGCTATTGGGAGTACTGCTCTAAATATACTTGTGTATACTTTTGCAGCAGTTCACCTGTCTAAGAATTATAAAAAAAACATTCATAATTTCGTGCCAAACGCCACGAGTAAATGTTCGCGCCTTTTCCTTGGACTGATCTATTAAATAGGTATGATAGCTTCAATTAAATTTTAAAAATAAAACATTTTTAGCGCCTTTTTTTTTATTTCGACGTTAAGAAAGTATATGTAACACATTATACACATTACATATCGTATCTAGCCCAGTTACACTAAAGCAATGAAACGGAAATCAAGTTTTAAGATTGACACTCAGTTGCAAAGTACTACTGTAACGTGTCGGATCTGAGCGGTCAGTAGGTCCGTGCTCGGAGTTTTACTGGGGATATGATTGAATGCAATATATACAGATAATAATATGACACCTGCCTGGTGTCTTTAAATCAAATGACCTAAGTGCTTTGTATAATTATATATCTTCATATATCTGCCTGGTGCCATATGACAATTGCCTCACTATAGAACTGACTATATAAGTCAACAGCCACCTGCCTGGTGCCTCTTGAGTTAGCCTTTAACACCTGCCTCATGTCTTACTGCTTACCAAGTTGCCATTATAACTCTAGCCAAGTGGCTACAATATACTTACACAATATGATTTAACTTTGTAAAAGCTTCTCTGTCCTAATGACAAACCTATTGCTAACGTCACACACCTATATTTTAACTAGTCACTAACTACAGCAACATTGCACATTCCGATTTGATCGTTACACCAATTGGTTTCTGTACCAAAGTGAAGACACAAGCCAGTTGGCTGTACTGCCCCCTTGTACCTCAACTTAATCAATGATCATAAGTTATCAGATATCATATTGATAAAATACAACAGACTGTCTTTCTTTTGGCAACACTATTATTATTTTCTAACAGAACATCATTTATCAATATTACTTGTATAATTCTTTTGTCAATTGACCAATTAATTACAATATTTTTATTGATTAGCTATTATAATATAAACAAGTAACGGGACGTAACTCCTCCAACCATTTCACTACTACGTGAGAGTCAAAGTAGTTTTTTACATTTCATATATCCTTATGTCAGAATCGTTTAATCAAACGCTCAGCTGCCTCCATAAACCCCTACTCGCGAAATGGCGGAGTTCACAGAGGCAGCCGCCATCTTGGACCCGCTTAAGATTTTCAAATATTAATATCTAGAGTTCAGATAACCAATAATCAAACAACTTATATAGTAAACATCAATAGAAAGGTCTCTATTAATATTCCAAAAATAAATAAAAAATATTGGAAAACAAAAAAGTTAAAAAAATACGCTTTTCTCAATTCTCATCTCCGAACGACAGGAAGTATAGACGACGAACGAAAGGTTGCGTCCTGGATAGTATCTATCAAGATCTATAATCCCTGAAAGTTTCACATTGATATCTTTTACGGTTCTTGAGATTAACCACAGACAAAATGTCATTTTAAAATCAGGAAAAGGTCTGTAACTTGGCACCGGAAGGGAATTTCCAAAAAATCTCTCGGATAAAATAACTTCAGATAACAACACATTGTTTCTGAGAATTTTGTTAAAATCCACCCAGTAGTCTTCGAGAAATCGCGTGCACAAAATTAGATGGTCAGAAAAATAATAATAACTAGATACGATCTCGTTGCGAGCAACGAGAGGTCTTCCGTCCGATTTCGAAAAAAAACTTTGTAAAATCTAGCTGAAAAGGTAAAAAAAAAAATATTACACGCAGGGGGGATTGAATCCAAGTCGGCAGCATGAAAATCCAACGCGCTAAATATTACGTACTCTGTCGGGACCTCTGCTCTAAATCTTCTTGTATATACCTCTGTATAACAGTGCTTTTGTCTTAGAATTATAAAAGCTAGTCACTATTCATAAATTCGCGCCAAACGCCACGAGTTAATATTCGCGCCTTTTCTTTGGAATGTTCTATTTAATAAGTGTGATATCTTTAATGAAATTAAAAAAAACGTTCATTTAGCCTAAAACTTGATGATTAGAAAGTATATTTAATACATTTCACAAACTCCATATAGTATGTAAGGAAGTAACACTAAAAGAGTGAAATGGCTATGAATTTTAACTTTTTTTTTAAAATTTCATGTTAAAGTGAACTCGCTAAAGTGAACTATCCCAATTAGTTAAAAACATTCATGAAGAGATTGAAATGTTTCGTAAAAAAAAAGGCTCGCCTTACGACGGACAAGGAATTGGATATCGTTTGTGCTCAATAACTTGAATAAGATCTTTGAGACAATAATGTTAATATAAACTCTATTAAGCGATCTTTAAAAAAATATGGTTATCTTATTTTGTCTTTTTTATTAGCTTAATATGGCACAAGTGTGCATGGGAAAAACAGTGGATAAGTTTTATACTTACTGTATTCATTGATATCCTTCTTGAAAAACTATTACTTATAACAATGATTAATGAGCTGAAGATATTAGGTATCGAATTTCATTTGCACATTTAGTCTTTTCTTTTTCTACTTTGAGAATCAACCAAAACCAATTATAGAAGACGTTTAAGAAGAATTTAGTTTGATACAGGATTGTAACGTAACTACAACGTGAAAATTCAAGTATTCCTTTACATTTCATTTGTCCTTATGTTACTTTCGTTCAAGCAAATGCTCGACTGCCTCAGTAAACCCCTATTGCGAAATGTCGGAGTTGACAGAGAGAGCGGCCATTTTGAAACGCTTCAAATTTTTAAATGCTAATATCTAGAGTTTAGATTTATCAATATTCAAACAAATTATATAGTAAGCATTATAAGAAAGGTTTCTATTAACATACAAAAAATAAACGAAAAATATTGAAAAACAAAAAAAATTTAAAAATTAGACTTTTTAAATTAGCTTCCGGTAGCGAGCGGAAGTAATGACGACAAACGAAAAGTCGCGTCCTGGATAGTATTTATCATCATCTATAATATCTGAAAGTTTCACATTGATATCTTTTACCGTTCTTGAGAAAATCCGTGGACAAAAGAAATCAGAAAAAGGTCTGTAACTTGGCACCGGAAGCGAATTTCCAAAAAATCTCTCAGATGTATCAAATTCATTTAACAAAACATCTGTCCCGAAAATTTCATATAATTCCATCCAGTAGTCTTTGAGAAATCGCGTCAGAAAAATAATAATAATAATAATAAGAAACAATAGAATCGCTATTATAAGGTCTTCCGTTAAGACGGAAGACCTTAATAATAAGAAACAATAGAATCGCTATAAGGTCTTCCGTGAAGACGGAAGACCTTAAAAATGTTTGTCTTTTTTTTTCTTCTCGATTCCCCTAAAAAAAACCTTCATATAAACCTCAACTCAATTTTACCTGTTGTATAAATAGAATGGTTGCAGGAGAAATAGATACCTTAAATAAGACACATGATATCATTTCATTTCAAATAAATGTTATATGAAGCTAATCGGACACAAATACGAAGTCCTTCATGCGTGTCTTCAATCTAGGTTAACATTTCGCTGCAGAAGTAAACAGGGGTCTGTAGCAATCTATTTGGTTAAAAGGGTAATCTTACTGATTGCAATATGGCTAAAGAAGAAGTCTTGCAGAGAGGAAACTGGAAATCCTGGTGGGAGTTTTTATTTTCTTCTGTCGGTTGTTTGGTGGGACTTGGTAACATATGGAGGTTTCCTTATATTTGTTTCAAGAACGGAGGAGGTTTGTTAAAAATTAAGATAACACACTAACAGTTACAATTTCAGGAGATGTCCTCATTAACTAGCTAACCAGTCCTGTTAAGAACACGTACAACTAAAAAGCAATAGATTATGTCTAGTGTTAATTTGAATTTTTGAAAAGTTAACAGTTATTCTCCAGCAATTTCTTTATGTGTGAAATAAACATGAAAATTCATAATTCTGGGGAATTTCAAAATAGAACTTCTGACATAAATAAAAATGCAGTCCCCCGCCCTTCTCTCCCTCCCACAGAATCTGCAAAATCTCAGTCATAATGTTATTGTATAAACAGAAAAATTATACATATTTCCATATACTTTCACATATATACTGTCTGTATTTTATATAGGTCTGGTATTTCAAACTACAATTTTGGCTACAACTTTTAAAGCTGGTTTTTCATATTTAGAAGTCAGCATTTACAATTTTTTAGAAGATATTCTAAATTTAAAGGATTTCATGTTAACAATTGCAGTCATCTTATAAAATATTACGAAACCTAAATTAAAATAAAAAAAAAAAACAAGACTTGTGTTGGAATTACTTACTTTCACGTTTAAATATTACTTCGAAATAATAAGCATAAAAATCGTTGCATTATAGCATACTAAGATTGCATGTGTAAACGTATAGAGATGTATGAATATATCAAATGTTATTTTAGGACAGCCTATTGTTCGGCCTTACTATTTAGCAATGAAAAAAATTGTCAGCACGACAACCTTTTTACCACTCTAGAAGTCAGATATCATATCGCCTTTACAGAGTTTGTCGGCAGGCTGAAATTTAATGTACTTTTGCTCATATTGCAATCTGATTCTAAATATCTTGGCTCTTCTAGTTTTTTTTTTTTAAATAAATAATTTTATTTTCTAACCTTGAAAGGTCTAAACTCTAATTTTTGAAATTATCAATTCACATTTAAACCTCTTTTTCAAGTTATTTCTTTTATTTGTAACATCAGAAAGTTACAGATCAAAACATTCCGAATTATGGTATTAAATAAAGAGAACGTTATGGGTTTTCATTAAGTCTAAGAATTCTACATGTTCTAAGAGACTAGTTTTAGATCTTAGTTTTATTCCCAATCCTATTGATTCATAACGCTAACTATAAGGCTATACAGCTGTACACTTGTCCTAACTCTTATGGTGCCTTGTGTGGCAATACTCATATATTCACTGTTTAAGTATCTAGTTTTTTCTTAACCTGAAAATATATAATTTTCTATTCAACGAGCTTTTCTGATTCCATACTTCATATTCATGTTCCTGTGTGCAATGCCAATGATGTTTTTGGAGATGACTTTTTCACAGTATTCTAATCTTGGACCTGGAAGGGTATGGATTTGTTGTCCACTATTAAAAGGTACAAAACAGAGAATTCAAACTCATGTATAGGATTACTGCACGTACAAATATATTTGTTAGTATCAATTTTTAAATATTGAAAAGAATGTTGAGACTCAGAGGATGTATGTAAGTATACGTACTTGAATAAGCTTTATGATTTTTACTCAAATAATCATTTTGTTTATAAACTTTAATTTGCTGCTATAACAATTTGAGTCTATCCAACAACTGACAAATTGACAACATTTATTCTTTTCAATCACGTAATAAATTTTTGAAATTTTCTCAGGAATAGGTCACGGAATGGTCGTTTTGACGGGGATTGTTAGTACCTACTACAACGTCATCTTGGCTTGGGCCCTGTACTATTTTGGAATGTCTTTCTTCCCCAAACTTCCATGGACCAGTTGTGATAATGACTGGAATACTGAGTTCTGTGAGCTGCGTGACATGAACTCGAGTTTGCCAAATTCCACACTATTTACTCTGGAAGACAATGTTAACATTACACTGCCTTCGTCTGCAGAGGAATTCTGGAGGTTAGAATATTGACAAATACGCATTTAGTATTCAAAATTTCAAGTTTTGATAAAGATTACAATAAATCATTTCAGAACAAACAGATTTGCACAATCTACATTTATCAAAGCATCTTTTTGTAGTGTTGTTTATTTAGGCCTGAAACTTTTGAATGATATATTTCTTTGAAACTTGTAGCTTCAATGTTTGACGTTTTTCAAACAAACTGTAGATTCTGAATGAGAGTTCCTTGATTGCGGAAGTAAATATCGACAATTAACACATTTTAAATATATATATTATAGTTAGGAAATTTTAACTCAAAAAGTTCCTCAATTAATAGCTTGCCCTTATTGAGTTGAATAGTCGACTCTTCAGAAGTTTTTATCTGAAGTGACAATTACGGAAACAAGCTTGTCAGTTTTAATGATGCCTTAATTTTGCCTTTAATGATAATATTGCTTTTCTGGGAAAAAGACATACAATTATCAAATTATCAAAAGCGATACATTTAGCAAATTTTAAAAGGATATATAGACCGATTTATTATCAACTTAAATGAAGGAAAAACAACAGGTGTTACGTGAAAATGGGGCTTAAAAATTGTGTCCATTGTTTAAGTTCCTACTTCACACAGGAACGTTATCACGTGCAATACTTTGAATATTTGAATTTTACAAAAGATGTTTGAATTGAATTGATATTGATCGGAATACAATTGGTTCTTAATGTTGACACTCAAAACTCTTGTCCAATGTTTCAAGTTCAATTTAAACATTTGATAACAATTTAAAAACAAATTGTGTCATTCTTGTTACAAAATATTTCGTTACAACCACATGTAAATGATGGTTCTTAGATAAACATTCTGTGCATCCCTCTCTCTCTCTCTCTCTCTCTCTCTCTCTCTCTCTCTCTCTCTCTCTCTCTCTGAATAAAGTGCTTGTTTTCTGAAACAAAAAAAGATTTTAACTTTACCTTCAGGCATTTAGAAGTCACATAATTTGTGGTAATGGAGAATGAAACATATGGAGATAACAAACAGTATTCAAGATCAAATGTTCATAAAACAGTACAAAATAGGAGCAGAGCAAATACCGAATCCCAAGTCATCAGAGGTGGGATCAGGTGCCATGGAGGAGTGAGCCTCCCCTACTGACCGGTGACACCCGCCGTGTGCTCCTTTTCATGATCGGGAAATAACGGGAAAATCTGTCGTCATTTCATTTGTTTAAAGATGTTTATGTATTTTTTTTTCGACATGCATGTCTTTGATTTATCTTACTAGTCATAAGACAGAGAAGAATTTAACACCCTTTGTTAAATCTTGTCTTGTTCTACTCTTAAATTGATGCATGTGTGGTTTTTTTCTTGTTAGTATTTATCTAAGATATTTGAATATTTATATAAAACTGATGTTGAAAATCAAACTACAGGCCTTTGAATGAAAAAGTATCACTTTAAACAGCCTATAACTCCTTAGGTTGTGAACATTTCAGGGGAAATGTCCTTGATATCTCTGATGGCATTGGAAATCCAGGGACGGTCCGCTGGCAGCTTCTGTTATGTCTGCTGGCCGCTTGGTTAGCTGTTTTCTTGTGTTTATTCAAAGGAATCAAAACTTCAGGAAAGGTAAATCAAGAGTCTATTTTGGTCTCTGATAAAAAAAAAAAACTATCAATTTTTTTATTTTACAAAAGTGATTTAGATTTAGGAAATGCTATACTGTAGAAGAAATCATTAGCGTGAAGTATTTTGATAAAGATTTCTTCAATGCACATTTATGCAAGTGTAAAATTAATAATTTATTTATTCTATAGTCTTTTTATTGATCAATACAATTTCCTTAAATATTCTGTATCACGGAAGACTTTTTTTTATTTGAAAAATGTTAATGTTTTATCAAACAACATAATGTTGAAATAAAATTCAATCCTGTAAAAAAAAGTTACGTTGTCGATTGTTACTCGCCATAAGAATCTCGCATAGGTCAGACCCTATGAAAAATTAATAAAAGGAGAAATAGGATATTAAATAAACATTTTATATTCTAACAGGTAGTATACGTGGCTGCCACTGTGCCGTACCTATTCCTGCTGGTTTTGTTTATAAGAGGGCTGACATTTAATATTGATGGAGCAGCAAAAGGTTTAGAAGTGTTTCTGATTCCACGCTGGGAGGACCTACTTAGATTCAATGTAAAAATACCTATGATTTTGTTGAAATATAGTGTATAGTTTTAAAAGTGTAATATTACATATGATTGCGCCCATGACAAATGGGTCCTTATGGCATTTTTGCTAAAACAGAGAAATAACGTCATAAAGATGTGACGTTGCAGACTGACGGTGAACTTCGACGCAGATTTTTTTTTACCACGTGTTTTGACGTTTGACGCATCCAGAATTTTTATCGCTGTTTCCAACATGTGGAATTTATTTTCATTGTTAAATTAATTTAATCAATATCTGAATCTCCTAATCCACTGATTTTAATAGATATATATGTATAAAAACATTTAGAAATGGTTTGGTTTGACACGCCAAAGTCCGATGGTGCAGAAAACAATTACATTATTACATATACGATCTGCCATTTGTTTATAAAATACAGATAAATATTAAATGTTTAACCCTAATCTTTTAGATATAGGTGCGAGACTAACACTTATCAGAAAAATGTGTTAAAACTAAGGTGTTTTCTTGGATGGGTGCAGGACTAACCTTCAATCCAATAGTCTGCGAGATAAATAAAATCTCTCGGTGAAACACATTGGTGTTCATAACCCTTATCAGTCGAATAATCTACAAGGACTAGCCCTAATAACTTGTTAGGCGAAAACAGTAAGCAATATCAGTAAAAATATATATGAGACGAATACTGAATCAATGGATTTTGAACGCAGGACAACGTCATGACGTCAAATTGTGAAAACGGTTGATCTTCCTCCGCACCATCGGACTTTGGCGTTCAGACCATCGCACTTTAGCGTCGCGCGTCTCATAGGAAACGAGCCACTTTCAAATCGGACTTTAGCGTCTGTACAAGACAGCGAGCCATCGGGGTTTGGCGCAGACCATCGGGGTTTGGCGATGTCAAATCGGACTTTGATTCTTACATATATAAATAAAAACATTTAGGTGCATCTTACAAACATTATTAAATACGTTGTATAATACCAATAGTTTTCCTACATAGTTGAAATTAAACATAAGGTGTTTTCATCATAGGATTTTTTTACACGCTAGATAAATTTTATTTACATATTTATACAATTTTTAGACATCTTAGACAGTATGTAAGAACGATCTCAAATACACATCAGATCGCGTTTGTAAACATTGTATTTTCATACTGCTTAAACTGTTGTTAAATTGTTTGTACAAATGTTGAAACTAAACATACATCTTCCACGTTTTTTTTTAAATCTAGCAAAAATGTTAAGATTATTTGTATTTTCTATAAATAAAAATAGGAGAGATAACTCTGATGTCAACAATCGATTGAACAGGGGTACCAGACAGGGACATTCATTATTTTAATTGCATACTTTTTCACATTTCAGCTGCATGTTCGCATGAATTTTCTCCCGGATTATAAAAGAGATATTTTAAGACCAAATAAAAAAAAACTTTTAATCGTCATCATAATTATGAATTTTTAAATAAAAAATATTGCTGTACTTAGGGAATAAGGTTAATGTAGAAAAAAAAAACAAAGAAGAAAAAAAGGAAAACTGCAAAATTTAATTTTTTTTTTTTCAAATCTCTTATCTATAGCTTTTTTTTCATGAAATAATTTCATGACGAATTTCATTTTTTAAAAAATAATAAACATGTAAAGCGTCTACTTATAATCATGATTAAATAAATTAAAAATTAAAAATGTTGTTTTGTCTTATATTCTTGTTGCACAAAGACACTTCAATTTAGAGAAATTAAAACAAGCAAAAAACCTCCGAATGAAAAAAAAATGTTCTAAATGTTCTAACTTAAATAGAGCTGGTCAAGTAAATCTGATGAGAGAGAGAGAGAGAGAGAGAGAGAGAGAGAGAGAGATGTAGGGTATATATAAAAATATTTATATTGAATCTTTTTATCTAATAATGAGAAATGTGAACTCTATTGAAAAAGTTGAGTTTTCAAAACAAATGAAATAATAAATGAAAGAAAATATCAATTTTGTTCTCTAAACTATATATACATGTATAGCTATTTATTTTCAAGATCTCCAAGTTTAATATACATGTAACTCTTTGGTACTTACGTGTTGTTGTTTTTTTTTAAGTATACGGAGTTCAAATGTTTGCAAAAGCTCGATCAGCATTGAATGTCTCTTAACAGATCAATTATCATGCTAAAAACTCAATCATCACTGAACTTATAATCTCATTGCAGTTATCTGTGTGGAATAATATACTGTTTAACCTGCCATCAAATTATGGATAAATATTATTAATTATGCTCAAAAATTATTTATTTGTTTTGGTTGATAAAAGAATCTTTATAAGTTCAGGGTCAGGTTTTATTTCTACATGTAAATGCTAACATAAAAATAAAAGTCAATGCTGAAAATACATGACATAAAACCGCAACAATATGCTTGCATTTTGTTTAATTTTGGCTGCAGTGCAGGGAATGGGGGTGGGGGTGTCCTTATATATTTCCGTAACATGTAGGCTTTACAAGGCTTAGCATATCCAAGCTTTGGCACCAGGCACGTAGCATCATTTTTAAAAGGGGGGGGGGGGGCAGCCAGAGAATTTTTTTTACTTCCCTGAAAAAGTTGACAAGCAAAAAAAAAGTTTAATGTTGCATAAAATCGAAAATCCTATTTCGTGGGGAGGGGGGTTAGAGGCCAACATTTTTCAGTATTAATTGTAATACTACGTTTTCCGTACATAACTAATAATGGGGGGGGGGCATCCAAACATTCAATTATCAATTCCTAGAGTATAAGTACATTGTAAGGTTGGGAAAAAAAGTGAAGTGCCAAGCCCCCCCCCCCCCCGTTGCTACGTCCCTGGGCACAGGACCAGAATGGAATTCATACTCTTTAAAACTTTCTATTAGAAAACAACATTACAATGAAGGGGATATTTTTTTTAATTAGGTCATAAATAATATGATGATTTTCTAAGATGTTTACATCCCTACAAAAATCTGACATTTCAAAGCTCAGCCAGTTCACAGACAATTGTCAGGAAATATATTATACAAAACAGTCATATTCAACTGACTGTATATTTAGGCATAAACAATTACATGTTATTAATCTTTAACCCACCCCTACCCCAACAAAAGTTATACATATACATGTTAACCGTAAATGGCATCTTTAATTCAATGGGTGTGCTTCTGAAACCATCCATTTCATAAAATAAAACCAGATTTTTTTTTATTTTAGGGTATCATTATATACATGATTAACAATACTGAATTCATAGCAATTCAGTTACAGGCTCATAGTGTTTATGATGGCTGTGCGATTTTGAAAATGGCAATGCTCAGAATTAGAGGTACAAATATAAAATGAAGAATGATAGGCAGCATTATTTCACACCTAATTAAAAAAGTGAATCTGCAAGTTGTAGGGTTAATGGTACTAGGTGCACCTAAAACTTTTGAAGTAAAAAAAAAATTAATTTATTTTAACTCGTGTTCACAAGAATTGTAAGTTTCAGCTATTTAGATTTTTTACCCCCCCCCCTTCACCAACATACACATAATCCTACAAATCTTAATCCTGTGTTTATCTATTGTGTAAATAATTGCGGATTATAACTCATTCATTTGTTTGTAAAATTTCCACCTTTTGATTGGTTAATATTAAAATATTTTTACTGCTAGACTTAAAAATATTTCGTGTATCCTTTATATTTTCGAAAAAGCAGTGTCATTATTGACCCAATGCAGACAGACGACCTTATAGATGCAGTGAATCAACCGAATTTCCTTTTTATTTACTGCCTATTGTGTATCGTAATTACATATTACATATTACAGGTACCACACTTCACAATTTTTCTGTCTTTATATAAAATTTAAAAAGAAAGAACAATCAAATAAATTTTCACTTCGCAGTAGCGTAATGTTGTAATTTAAAAAGAAAAATAATTTTGACATATATGGTAACTAAAGATATATCGTTTATGCTGAAATCTTGACCTATCAAGAGCAATGTTTAAATTAAAATAACTTTCAAATGACTCTTGCATGGATTACCAGTAAATATTTTGTATGAGAAAATAATTGTTTCAAAAAAAGAATGAATGGATGTTGCCCGCTTTTCAGGTTTCCCCCTGGTGTCATAGAAAAGTGAAATGTAAAACAAACACTCACTTATAATACTATACACCACTGATGAATCCATAATATATATAACTATTAAATAATTATTAAATATAATAATATCAAATATTTCACAACTATTAATCACCGTAGTAAAACTACAGAAGAAAATCATTTAACGTTCACTCTGAAAACGTTTTACGTTGTTGATAAACATGACGTCATTATTAACCTGTTGAAGTATATTTGATAAAAATGAAGAAAAAACCTACTTAGAGTAGACGTAGGACCATAAAAATTCATATTTGACAACTTCTAACCTAACTCTATCAGAATCCGTGAAAAACTCAAAATGCATAAAAATTGCCATAAGGACCCTTTTCACATGGGCGCAATCATATGTGCTTGTAAATTTTGTGCAGAACACGAACACTCTCAAAATAAAAAACATCTAGATCATCTATCTATGAACTTAATGCCATTGATCATTTTTGGAAATAAGTATTCTTCTCCTAAGCAAAGACATAACGAAAAAATATGATGAATTCATTAGTTTAAGCTGCTCTTATATCAATTTTATTATTTCATTCTATATTGTTGTTCCTGTTGTTAGCAGAACCTTTTTTTTTTTCTTTTACTTGTATGTATGCAGGATAGGTTATTAA